CCATCATATAAATTAGCAGCATATGTGAGCATAATGCGGCATAATAATTATGATAACTTTTACCATAATATAGCATAATTATGCAATTTTTTCAGTAATGCGAAAAGCATAATTTCACGAAGATATTAGCATAATCTGTCAAGGCCTACTCGCGAGATGTGGGCTTCCGACGCTGCCAGAGTGTGGGATACCTCATTGGCAGCAGCACCATACATGTACCTAACACTAGAGCCATGCAAACAAGCAATGCAAAAACGCAGCAGAGCAAACGAAATCCTGCACGGAATGAAAGCCATGGCATGGCTGTAAGGCTCCGACTGTTTTTCTGACCGCAGGCCAGCAATATGCTTGTCCAAAGCAGCCGCCGCACAACTGAAGCCTCTGGATGGGGACATCACCTCCGGAACAAATGACGCCTGATCGATATGGTCCTCACGCGCTCTCCATAACGCCTTTTCTTTTCATTGTCATGATTTCGATAGACAGTGGAAAGAGGTGCAGCACAGTTTGACAACGCATGCGGGTTAAATACCCCAGGCCCTACACCAATACCCGTACATCAATTTAGGTGCGCTGAAAACGGCTGCCCCACAATCCACTGACACTGATTATCTAAGCGAGCGTGGTCGTCAGTTGTCGCGGAGTGATGCTGAAACCGCTCCTCAGACAGTGGCTGGAGCGACAGCTCAACGAACACATTATGTGCAACTTGCCTCAACATGTCTGCAGTGACATCTCGGATTTCATTTATTTAATATGTGGGATAGAGGGGAAGCCTCTGTACGGACATGATAAGGCATGGCAGATTGTGAACTCTGTGCCACGCACACATGAGGCTGGAAATCTTGGTGGTACACACCCGTAGCAAAGGCATACTGATAGGGCTAAGGCCAATGCTCCCTTCTCCCGAACCAACCCGCTAGAGTGCCCACCTCTGCCAGGATAACAGTTGACACAACATCTCCCCAGCCTGCGCAAATGAACAAGATTTGCACGTAGACCGGTCTACAGGTGGATTTGTTGCACGAACAGCAAGGGCTCAGAACGCAAGAAGAATATACGGGACCCATGCGCACTGGCAGTACAATGTACAGTAGTAGATCTACGGTAACACACGGAATCCAGGTCACCAAGATCTTAAGGTGGCTCGCGCCTATTTCTAAACTCGTCTTCTGCGCAGGTTCTCGCGCATCCTACGTTCGAGAAAAGTGCATGCGGAGTTGGAGTAGCGAGCTTGTAGCGCACTCCAGTTTCGAAGGGTCCAGCTCGAGCATATGGCCTGAGTACGAAACTCTCGTACTCGAGTCTAGAGTGTGAGCTTTTTTCTTCTTTTTTTTCACTCCTTCACTTGGCTACTTTTTTTGAGGTGCATTTTTTACTTGTGGAAATTGTCACCTGTCAGAGAAGTTTTGGGATGTCCCTTCCAGCAGGCACTGCCCATGCCCATGGTCGGCTTCGGAAAAAGAGTAGAATAAAGGCGTTGGAGTCTATGTGGATGTCTTGGAAGGAATGGGGGACGGCACAGACGGGTACGTGAATGTGTAAAACCTGAGTATTTTGTATTTTCGTTGAATTGGTTCAAGTGACTTGGCAAGTCCCTTCCACAGTAGAACGCCATCCTTCACAAAATTTGTCTGACTATTTTGTCAAGAATGGCCGTTCTATAATGATCAATCGACTCTGAAGCCAGTGGATTGTGGAGGTCGCCCTTGCATATAAATTGAAATGGTCACGAACGAACGAAAGTATTTTTGATTCGAACATGTACTGGACAACGTGGTTGCATTGTGTCAGTAGAGGGTACTACTGTAGTATCTCACCATTTCTTTATGGTAATCGCTGTCCACCAAGAACTCTCCTATAGTTATTGCCACGGCTTGATCACAGCGGTACACTGAGTTTTTGTTGAGAAATTCCTTCAATTTATTGTCTTATCACTCAGTGCTCGAGCGTTTTATTTAGGATGCATTTTTTAGAGATTGATATTTACCAGTATGTGTTTCACATCACTCCTGACGAGAATAAGCAATTGAAAGCAACACTGGCTGACAGCAATCATGCTCCCCAGGCTCAAGTGTGTGTGTGTGTGTGTGTGTGTGTTACAAGGGTGTGCATGGCAATTTGGTAGAGTATGTGTGAACACAAAGTCCACTATATTCACAAACTCAAGTACATCGCAAAATTGTGCCTTCGTATAGTATATGGTGCCTTCATAACTTTGACTAGCCCTAACCTGCTGTTTGACAGGTGTGTCATTAGTGAATGTACATGTATACTGTCTCTCTTCACAACTACGTGCATGTAACACAATATTTACAGTGCACTTGCAGTGTATATAGCTAGATCAATGTACAGTAATCAGTAAATTGTGGCTGCCTCTGTCACATTGTCATATTCACGCGACGTACATTCTAAATCATCGAAAATGCCCAAACCTATTTCTACGTGTGCAGAAGAAGATTGAACACATTCTTTCCTTGCATCTGCGCCTTGATCCTTGAAGGATGACGGTGTTCCTACGGATGCGGAAAACTCGGCCTCTAGCCGAGTCTGACGCGAACCGTGAATTTTTCCCTTGACATTGGTTGATGGCATCAGTCACATCTAAGAGTGACACTCTATCTCAAACATATTTACGCAAAGAAGTAATCTTATCTTCATTGGAGCGATGGTCTGCAGGCGTGCGATCATGTGTGGGCCTTGTGTGTGTGCGTGTGTGTGTTTAGTCACTGTTTACGCGCACGTTTGTGAATGTGCGTGTGTGTGTGTGTGTCTGGCCTGGTATGGGGTTGCTCAGGATAGTTCTGCATGGTGGGTGGACGGTACTGTCTTATCTGCCATCGGTCGTTTTGCCAGCCAGGTGACAAACAAGGCACAAATGTGGCGCAGAGCGAAGTCTCCCCATCCAGGATCAGCGTGGTGCTGTGCAGTGTGGTACATGCAGAAGGTGGTTTCACTCTCGTGGTGGCTTGCGTGTGCATCATTGTTTGCCCCTGGAACCATCGAAAGTGTCCGCGCCGGCATCATCTATTCCGCTCAGCTTCCAAGCTTCTCTCTTGTGTTTGACATGCAATCGGCAATTCAAGTCAGCGCCTGGTTTCAGACGTCACACGTGCGACCGTGGCCATCGGGCAACCAAGTCTGACAGAGCGTCATAATGGTGTCCACTGTTCTCGCTGCAGCCGTCAGTTCCGTCGACAGAGTGACCTGAGTCGTCATCTCCGTTTCTGCTCCTGACAATGACTCTGGCTTCTTTCGGAATGGTGTGGCCCGTGGGCAACCATGCTACAGTGGCAGTAGTAGTAGTAGTTGTGTGTGTGTGTGTGTGTGTGTGTGTGTGTGTGTGTGTGTGTGTGTGTGTGTGTGTGTGTGTGTGTGTGTCTGAATAGTGGCGGACAATTCTTCAGTCTTGCAAGCTGTTGAATGGTGCAATCCCAGCACAAGCTGCTATGGCTTCTGCTGTAGCATTGCTATCATCACCTCCGGCGATGGGCGTCCAATGGTGTGTGTCTGGAGCGCCATGGGGTGGCGTGCTCTTTCTCTCTCTCTCTGCTGCCCCTCCGGGGCCCACGTGACCCTAGTGGTAGTGGCTCGACAGGACAGGTGTGTGTGTGTGTGTGTGTGTGTTTGCACGCATGTGTGTGTGTGTGTGTGTGTGTGTGTGTTTGCACGCATGTGTGTGTGTGTGTGCACGTGTATGTGTGTGTGTGTGTGTGTGTGTGTGTGTGTGTGTGTGTGTGTGTGTGTGTGTGTGTGTGTGTGTGTGTGTGTATGGTATGTGGGTGGTATGTGTATGGTATGTGTGTGTGTGTACACGTGTGTCAATGTGTATTGCAGGGTTGGGGTGGGGGCTAGTAGAGAAGAGTAGATGTATATGGACATGTACATGAGATATGTAGGTGTGCATGTACATGCACCAAAGCAAACTTATCAAAAAGGCATTCTGCGCCTATATGGCGAAATTGAGCATTGAAGCATATGTTTTTTATTTTCTCATTGGCATGTACACATTTAGTCCATTCAATAACCAAAAAATGAGGAAGATTGTAAATCAGGTTCTTGATTAAATACCCGTCCGCTATACATCACAAATCCTGTACAAATTTGACAATTTAGTGAAATTGTCATCGCCTATATCTCAAAAGTTAGCATTGAGACCCCGTTTTTTTAACTCGCCATTTGCATACACTACCTAAGAGCAACCACCCACCAAATTTTCAGAGCAATCGTTAATTTTTTTGAAATAGGCGTGAGCCACCTTAAGACTAAGAGCCCGAGGCCATGCGCGCAGAAACGACACACGCGCTACACCTGGTACCTGTGCGACCGACTGAAACGACGGGCCCAATGAGGAAGAAACCAGCTGGGTGATGGAACGGCGGACTGAGGAGCCCAATTGGAGTGAAAACTATTGCAACCGCCTCCAAATGCCTCTAGGAACGTAATGACTCTCCTGGGATAGCTCGAGTCAACAGTCACGATCACAGAAACAATGAAATTAATAGTTTAATTTTAAATCTCAGTCTGTCTGTACTACTACTAGTACTAGTACTACATCATGACATTTGTACTACAGACTGTGCTGGCAACTGAAATCCGACCCCCTGAGCGGTGCGCTCAGCTGATCAGGGGTTGGATTTCAGTTGCCAGCACTGTACATGTACTACTTCTACTGGAACTAAGACTATTACTAGTAATAGTATTATTAGTTAGAAGTAGACACTTGGACATCAGTGCCGTCAGTACACACAGTAGTACAGTGAGGTCAGCTCAGTACGACAGTAGTGCTGTGTAGACTGTTGACAGTGCAGTGCTGTGTGGACTGTTGACAGTGAGTGCAGTGTCGACTGCAGTCTAGTGCATGCAGTACATGGTATACACTCCACAGCATACAGTCAGTTCTTGTTCTGGACTTCACCAGCTGTACTGGCTGGCCTGCGGAAGGACAAAATCTAGAAAATACACAGTGGCAAACACCGGCTACAGGTACAAGTAACAAAGACATTAAGTAGTTGCGACATCTGGCTCAGGTGAAGATACAATCATAAGTGAGCGTGAATGCTATTTCTGACATCCGACAGGTACGAGTCGTGCCTGTGTTTATTTTATTTTATTATATTAAAACACTGAATAGTCTAGTGCTGATGGCAAGGTGGAGAACGGGATATTAGCAAACCCCAAAGGACGCCATCAAGCAAATCATGATATGAGTGAGGAGACTGTCCTGACCGTCTCCAACGCTACGGATTGCAATGTATCGATGCAAGCAGATCAGAAAGCAAAGCTGCCAGAGTCGGATCTCTCTGACGCTCCCACACCTCGAAAGCAGCGTGAGGTTTATGATGGCGTTGGAGCCAAAGCCAATACTCGTTCGCCAGTCCACTGCAACATCATCCTGCTGCTCGTCGCGATCAACAACACGATCGTGTGGACGGCTATTGGCTTGATGATGCCATTCTTTGGTCGGGAAGCGCTGAACAAAGTACCTAGTGCGAGTTTTGCAAATCATTTCGCCATTGGTCTGATAATCAGCATAGCAACACTTGTGGAATTTCTCGCTGCTCCAATCTTCGCCAAGGACATTGTGAATGTTGGAAGTAAGTTGATGTTAGTTATGAGTACATTCGAGATCAGTGCTATGATATTTCTGTTTAGTTTTGTCGGTAAAATCGAGTCGTGGAGTATCTTCCTGGCAATGTGCCTCTCTATCCGCTTAGTGCAAGGCATTTCAACAGCAGCAAACTTTGTTTCTTCATTTTCCCTACTGGTCGGTGCCTTCCCGGAGTCGAACGGATTAGTGAATGGAGTGTTGAGGTGTGCTAATGGAGTAGGTTATGCTATAGGTCCGGCATTAGGCGGAGTTCTGTATGACGTGGGTGGATTTGCTCTTCCTTTCTACGTCGTCAGTGGTGTTCTTGGAATCAACCTTGTTCTTCTCGTCATGTTCCTGCCGTCCATTGAAACGGAGTTGTCTTCAGTCAAGCTGAAGAGCAACATTAGTTATTGTCGGCTGCTTTCTATACCCTGGGTGTGGATGGTGCTCATCAGCATATTCATTGGCGTGTTAATCATGGGATTCACAGAGCCAGTTCTCGCCGTGTACCTGAAGCATGCATTCAACCTACCGACTCTATATGCTGGAATTGCTTATGCTATCCAGAGTGTTACGTTCAGTGGGGCCACTCTGCCCATAGGCTATTGGGTCGATCGCTCGCTTAACCCCAGGCTCATGCAAGCCGTTGGTCTCTTCATATGTGGAATAGGCTGTCAGCTAGTTGGCCCTGCTCCTTTTCTACCCCTGCCAAAGTCAGTGGCTTTCACCTACCTAGCTATGGTGCTGTTTGGCATGGGATGGGGCTTTACCGCTGTGTCGTCAGTACCTGATATTCTCAGAACTCTGGATGCTCATGGCTTGGGCAGTCCGGGGGAGATGCGCGCTGCAGCTGCTGGCCTCTTCCAAGCAGCAGCCTCTCTTGGCTATGGTGTTGGGCCAATGCTGGGCAGCACAGTAACGGCAGCCGTTGGGTTTGAGTATGGCACCTCGATGTTGGGTGCAGTGTATTTGCTCTGGACTGTGCTCTTCTCCATTGCTGCAGCCAGCAGTGACAAACTGCTCATTGTACAGCTTGAGAATCTCGTGAAAGGTCATTCTTAAACCATTAATTTCATTGCCAGAAAACGTTATTTATTTTCCACTTCGGAGTTTTTTTGGAGCCAGGTGTCAGGTCGTTGAATGTCTCAATATCGCTGTCAGTTTAATGCCTTGTTGTCATACTACCTGACTGTATAACATATCGTTACCTTAGCGAACTGTTAGTCATAACTCCTATCTTATTGGTCGTTTCTTCTCACTTAATACTATTGGCTCAACATCCGATTGATAATTTATTTTCATCACATTTTTTCGCTTTAAACACTTCTCGCGTACTTCAGTAACAAATTCACATGCATGACTTCACATCTGCCTTATTTCGTATCTAGATTTACCCAATCTCGGTCTCTCCCGACATTTCTCGATATGAGTTAACTCAACTGAGTGTGACCTGGTCACTAACACCACAGTTTGAAACTAAAACCGGGCAACTTGGGAACAAGGGGCCAACACAGAAGAGTGGCTCAGCTCCATCGACTACGTGCCTCAGAACAAACTGCAGCATACCAGCTTCCTTCCACAAACATCACTTGAGTGAACAATCCACACTGATGATCAGTTTGGTTCTACACAATTATTTTTGCTTTCATATAATTATTTTAGAAAGGAAAAGGACATATTGATACGAGTCAAGAGTAACTCTCCATCACTATAACCAGATACTATTACACAGTCAGAAATTGCAACAACTAGGCGCAAAACTGACAGAGTACTGAGACATTCGACGTCCTGACACCTGGCTTCAACACATCTCCGTAGCGCTAACCGACAGCCTTCTAACTTGGTGTGAGGACGTCGAATGTCTCAGTACTCTGTCAGTGTTGCGCCTAGTTGTTGCATTTTCTGACTGTATATAGTATCTGGTTACAGTGAGGAGAGTTACTCTTAACTCGTATCCATATGTCCTTTTCCTTTCTACATTTATTATTGGCTCAACATCCGAGTTTCATATATTTTCCCTGAAATAGATCGGCGACGGTGATTACAGTACCAGTGTGTGCTGGCTTGATGGATGCCTCTTCTCTGACAGGTATAATGTACATGCACGAGACGTGTACCGGTATTTAGAAAAAAAACAGCATTTCAAGGTTCTCACAGCGCAGAGTTGCCCTCGAAGCTAGGCATTTTACTGGGTTCAGGGTTCAAGCGGCAGGGTCCATTCCTTGCCCCAAATGAAAAGCCTCTTTGTTATTAGTTTGCTTCACACCATTTATCAGTCATTACGTATGATCTATAATGCAGTGGCAGTACCAGGTGTGGGCTATCCCCTGGATTTTCAAAATGGGTGCCTTATCATTTTTTCTGTTGTTTTTACACTTCTTCGTACTTTGTAAAAAAATATAAAAAATGAAAAGCCTCTGCACAGAGGCCTGTACGTAAAGGTGGTAGTGACTAGGGCGTAGTCAAACCAACATCGTCACTCCAATCAACAAGTACATGTACAGTGAAACCTGTCTAAGACGACCGTTCAAGGGACCTTCAAATGTGGTCTCTGTTGTCAGGTGGTCTCCTTATCCAGGGTCATTTGACTGGAAGTAGCATCTCTTGGTCCTGGGTGCAGTGGTCTTTTGGGACAGGTGGTCGCCTTATCCGAGTGGTCGCCTTGACAGGTTTTACTGTATTCACATCCCGGGTAAGACTCGAATTTCACTAGCAGCAAGCCTCTGCACAACTTGAGCCCAAAATAATTAGTGTGTCCTTTGTCTGTTTACATGTATTATAAAAATAATTATACTGAACACACATGTATCCCCATTTGTATAATCGAAGTATGGCAATTTGCTCATACATGTACATGTACATGTATGTAAGTCGCCCGCGACGACCGCCGCGTGACATACATTGTACATGTGCAGAATAGGGACCGGCGGATTATGCTCGAAAAGGTGGCAGATTCTGCTCGAAAAGCAGTGAAATTGGCAGAACCATACAAACCTTATGGCGGGCAATTCCTCGAATTCTGCTTCATTTCTTTATCCACACTAGTGACATACCAAACATGCATGAAACTTACCAGAAAAAGTACCGAATTCTGCCAATTTTTCTGCCGGCATAATCCGCCGGTGCCTAGTGCAGAACAGCGGACTTGATGGAGCTGATCGACAATCCAGATTAAATAAAATATTTGACAAACTTGGTTGATCATCAACATGATTTTTGCGATAGCTCTCCTCTCTTCACCTCTATCAGTCAGTGCATCATCCAACATCCTCATCCTTGTTCTGGTCTCTGCAGTTCTACCTACATTGTACATGTACATGTACATGTGCATATATCCGTGGGGACACTGGCACACGCTGCTATCTTACATGTAACTAACGTTATATTCATGACGTGTCTGTAGCCTTTGTAGAGCTGGAACAGAACGGAGCGTCCCTATAAGTGTGTATCCCTGGTGATGGTTTGGCCTGTTCAGCACAATCTAAGTGATGTCCCTCCCTACCTACCCTCGTCTCTCGTCCAAAGTGCGCGCACTCATACCACGAGAACAATGGGATAATATTTTAAGATTTGAACGTCTTTTTGATGTGATACCGATCAGAAATCGTCATCACACTGAGAGGTGGACTACAAAGGAAAGATATGTATGTTACCACAAAGTGAACATTGTTAGATCTAAAACTAATACAAGAAACCCGAATATTCTAAAGCTAGCACTAAAGGCATGATTACATGAGCAGCGAGCAGTGTGAAAGCAAGTGCAGATTGGAGAAATGCAGGTGAGAAAGGTTCTGTACATGCATGTGAGTGGGTATGTGAGTGGGTATGTGAGTGGGTATGTGAGTGTTGGTATGTTAAGTGAGCGGTGTGATATGAGTGCTGCAAACGACGTTCAAAACTTCACATGTTGTTCCATTTTTCTCGTGGTATGAGTGCGCTCACTTTACTTTCATCGATATTAGGTTTCTTGTCTCCACGCCGACATTCCAAGCAAAGTTGAGATATGACGATTGGAAGTTGGAGGGGGAACAGTAGTGGTCATGTAGAAGCAAGAATACAATCTCTTCCACCTACATGTACATAATGATGCACGTTGTGTACCAGTCTGACTGTCCAAGAGACCCTGATAACCTTACCCCCATGTCATACCATGCTGCGCCATGCACATACCACACGTGCAAAGGAGCAAGCTATCATGAGTGTCGTTACTTAGAGGTGTCAAACAAGAAGTGAGTTTTGACAGGCACTTATGACAATGTACTGCTGTACTGCTAACATCATTGAGAGTATCGACATACTTATACTTTGTAACTATGATTTTTGTAACTATGATTACAAATAACTTCAACTACAAATAACTTACTTGTATTATGACTGTGAGTACTGTTTCCACACTATTGCACAGGGGGAGGGATTTAGCACACTCAAGTGGAGCTCCAACCCTCTGTTGGCACGTTTGACATACATGTACATGTACATGTATATGTAGAATGTAGTACTTGTACCGGTACATGTAATGATGTAATGATGTAATGATGGGTTTTTTTGGTGTTTTTTGTTTTTTTGTTTTTTTGTTTCTCGTTTTTTGCGTTTTTCACACATACAATTGTTTTCATTTTTTGGTGTTGTGTTCTAATCATTCGCCATGCCACTGTCAATTGTATTCTGTTTGCCCGTAAAAGAGGCCTTTACTTTATGTAATGATGTAATTATAGCAATGAAAAGTATGAATGCCGCAGACATCACCACGCAACATGACAATTTGTTCAAGGTTTGGTTTTGTGTGTTTCCAAAATCGATTTTCACGTTCCGATCATCAGTGGAAATACGGAACTAAAGAGATCAGGGGAAAAACAAAGGTTAAAAATCCAAAGAAGTGTGACACATGACGGGTAACTTGTGGTAAGTATTACAAAAAGTGAGAACTAAAATAAAGAGTAAGTGTGACAAACGGGCATGAACAGTGCAGAAACAACTCATGAACACGGGGTGCAAACTCACGAAAATAACCTAAGTGCTAAAACATGTTCTTTTAGCTTACACAAATCGGGCTTATGCGTACGTTTAGTTCCGTATTTCCACTGATGATCGGAACGTGAAAATCGATTTTGGAAACACACAAAACCAAACCTTGAACAAATTGTCATGCTGCGTGGTGATGTCTGCGGCATTCATACTTTTCATTGCTATTATTGAACTTTTATCTCCACGTAGATTAAATGATGTAATTATTATTATTATTATTTTATTTATTTTACTAGGGTGTTTCCCACAGACGTATGAATGATGTAATGATGTAGCACATGTAATGATGTAATGCAGGTTTGGTGCTATACAATGTACAATGTACACTTTACATTAGACAATATTTACAGCCATTTATGACATTATACTGTACATGTGTTTACGGCCATTTATCTGCTTTCTTCCTGTTGTATAATCACTGTCCGGCGTGTATTTACCGCCATATTGCCAGGTACGTGTTTACCACCATAATTATGAATAAAATACTCAGGAAATGTAAAAAAATACAACGTACATTGTAATTCCAGACACGTACAGTGTGTAGGTATTGTACGTGGTGCTGGTACTGAAGGTGACCTGGCGAAAGCCTTCGACAACGTTTGGCATAGAGGCCTGATTGCCAAGTTGACTGCCTATGGCATTGGTGGCAAACTGCTTAATTATTTTTGCCTTGAAAGCTGCTTAACTGGCAGGTTACAGGCTGTACGCGTCGGCAACACCATCTCGTCTCCGCAGCCCCTTAATTCTGGTGTGCCACAGGAGTCAATCGTGGGACCGAAATTCTTTTTAGTTTACGTCAATGATCTACCGATGTCCATCCCTAATGTTTCACTCTTCGCCGATGACACCACAGTTTCCGCTTCAAGTAGTTGCAGGCGATTGCTAGTTGATGACCTCCAGAAACCGATCACTTCCACCATGTCCCGGACGTGGCACCAACTAGCACTTTTGTTAGCCTCATCTTTCTCAAGACGGAAATTCTCTCTTTCGATCGATTTATCACTTCTACTGGGCAAGTCATCATGAATCTGCGAAATCCATTTCATATCCACTTGATACAGTGAACCTTGTTCTCAGTGGACCGCATCATTATGGTGCGTTCACATGACCGCTGAATAGCTTGTAGCCACTGATGGCTGAAACCTAACATAGAACGCTTGCACCCCTTCCACTTAATCCACCACAAACCAATCATGAACAATACCACTGTTGTTAGGGAGAAGGCGATACGTTCAATGTGCAACTGCTAACTGAACACTGAATGCATGTATGAGAGAGAGAAAGAACAGAACGCCTTTCACAAGTAGACATTGTAAAAGAATACAATAGTGACGA